CAGAAATAATTTTGCTTTCTGTTATCTTATCCTGTGATTAGAGATAAACTTAGGACATGAAGACTCAGTCACACACAAAGTAGATTACCCTTTGCTTATATATTTACTATTTAAACAACATGATTAGCAAACATTGAATGCAAAGTTATCCTTGGTCACTTGATTCAAATACACTTGAGTTCTTAAGAATACATTATTTAAATGAAGATGAGATGGCTGATGTATAAGATTATGATCCTCCCATCTAATAGTGCAGTATGGTATGCAGTATGCTAACTGAGCTTACTTCATAGCAATGCTGCATACCAAGCCAAGTGTATTAAAGACCAAACCTCATGGTCACTATGCTGTTCATCTGATTCTATTAATAAACCAAGCCATGGTTCCATAATATGGGTCATGACCGAGCCTGAGTACTCAAGAGCACTGACACCTTGACCCTCACTCAGTTTTACTTGCTGCACCGCGTTACTGCCGCCCGATCTACCTCCCTCTCTAGGGTGGACATCTGTGGGAACCACTCAGGTCTGACCAGCCTTGCTTGTATCGCGTTTATTTCTACTTGTGTGTAAACTCTTAACAATAAAGAGTTAAAGCTGTAATCAAGGATTACTCCTGCCCACCAGCATCAAGATAGGAGGTTAATAGCCTTTTATATCTGGTGGCTGCGGTGGGATCTGAATATGCACCTCTGGAGAGACTGGTAATTTTTATTTATTTATTCATTTATTTTTTTAATGTTTGAAAATAAATGTGCTAGCCATCAAAGGTCGGAAAGGGCAAAGAGTTACAGATTACAATAAAATTTGTTGGATGTCAAGGTTTAATAGTGTTATAAGATAGGGTAGTGAAAAGGGGAAAAAAGGGGAGAAAGTGAACTGGAGCAGAAATTAGTATAGAGGGGAGGGTTAAGGAGGTAGGGCTATTGTAAGAATTATAGCGAATCTGTCACTGGGAAGGTATAAGAGAAATGTTCAAGGAAGAATACAGATAGCTGTTGAAAAATAGAAGCATCCGGGAGGAGGGAAAGGTGTTAGATGTCAAAGATTAGAGGGTGTTATAGTAAAGTATGGTAACAAAAAGGGAAAGGAAGGAGGTTGAGGTGGTAAAGCGATTAAGTGAATCTGTGACTGGGTAAGGAATAGAGATAATAGGTGATAGTGATAGATATAGTCTTGGTAGTAAGGGATTAGGTGTCTGAGGTTGAGATAAAGGATCAGGAGTAGGTTAAGGAGTTGTGTCTGGGGGTTCAATAGGGATGATGGGGTTTGAGGAAGAGTATTGTGATGGAATAGATTCACGTGTACATCCAGGAGGGAGTGGGAGGGATAGTGGGGAAGGATGAGGTTTGGGGGCTTGGTTTGGGTGGTATGGGTGGTTGAGGTGGCTGAGAGGATAAGGTGTGTGGAAAAGAATTGGGTTTTGGAGGTTTTGGTTTGGTTGGTTGAGGATGAAGTATTTTGGGAAGTTGGGGGGAATATGAGGGGGTAGAGCAACTGAGTGAATTGCAGTGTATCTGTGACTGGGGAAGGAGTAGGGACATTGATAAAGGAAAAAAGGTGGCTATTGGAGAAGTAGTTGAAGAATCCAGGGGTTAAGAAAGGGAGATTGGGGAAGGTGGTGAAGCATAAGGAAAAATGTCTGGAGAGGAGGGGTCTGGAGGACATTTGTGATAGAAAGGATTCATGTGAGTATTCAAGTGGAAGTGGTAGAGAGGATGGGGTATGATGGAGGGACTGCTACCTCACACTCAAACTTATAGGCAGGGTAGTTCCTATAAAAACACATTTGGGAGTCTCCACAATTGGCACATGTACGAGATTGAGCAGGGCAATTTCAACGGTCATGACCAGGTTGGGCACATAGAGGGCAGCGGGCTGTGGAGCGACAGGTTCGGCTGGGTGGCTAAAACGCCAACATTTCTGAGGAAGGGGTCCATGTTGTCGACATGATAAGACAATCCACCAATATAAACCTCATGGGGGAGGTCTTGTCTATGGAAGCTAATCTTGGCAATATTAACGTGGGATTTATGTTGGCCTCTGGGAGAAAAGAGTGTAACACTACTGCTTCTCATCATATTCATTTTGGGGAAATAGAAACAGTTCCAGTACAAGTATTATGAGATGGGTAAGGTTCGGCAGGAAAGGTTTGCCAGTAGATAGTGCACGAGCTTGGGCTTCAGATGTAACCGTGACAAGGCGTGAACGATCAGAGCGAATACGAAAAGTAACCTTCCCTATTTGTTTCTGGAGGCACTGCTGAATGAGAAGGGTATTCTCAGAATAGGGGGCTGTGGGGGAAATCACAAAGGATCGAGCCCACTTTGCTGGGCAAATAGTACTCAGGTCTGCAGAGGTAGAGGTAGCAGAAGGACGAGGGCGAGAGAAGATGGGGTGGTATGGAGTGGTGTAGTTTTGCAGGGGGGGGGGGATAAGGATGAAGAGTAGTAATAAGGGAAGAGGGGGATGACATTGTAGAGAGTTGTGTAGCAAGATGAAGAGGAGAATGTTGGAGATGTGGAAGAGGTGCTTTCTAGGGACTGAGTAATAACTTGGGTCGGTGATTCGGAATGGTTACAGTTGTTCGTAAGCGTCAAAGAGGGGGTGTGGCGGACACCACAATCACTTCGGCACCGGCGCTGCCTCGCTCTGGGTATTTGCATCAGTCAACACCAGCGCATCCTCGCTAGGCGTACTTGCCTAACCTCACTCGGTACTAGCGCACCTTGCTCTGCATAATTGCCCCTACACCGAGTCAGCTAGCCGGCAAGCATGCCGAGGTCCGCGGTGCTGATTCGCCGCGACACGGGAGATAACGATGAAGCCGCGGCGCACTCAGCCGCGGCCAAGCTACATTTCTCATTTTGTATTTATACTGCATTTCTCGCCAAAAATACACACACTTCACAGTCTTCTCTGCAACTTGAGTTTAATTCTCCTGTCTGCTCAGGGCCTAGGGCTCTCAAATTACCTCGCCCTAGGCCTCTCCACATTGGTGACCCCGGAAACGACATGAACTCCAACGCAGCCACCCTCTTCAATGAACTGAATGTCGCCTCCATCCCCCTTCCACCCTTTTCACCAAATGAAGCCCTTACATGGTTTCGAAGAACCCAGTTCAGGCTCAAGAGCATCAAAGAGGCGACCACCAAAGCAGACCACGTCATAGCTGCCTTACCTGAGAAGATTTTCCCCGAATAGCCCCCTGGTTAGATACCCAGCCAGACGAAAATTGAGTACGACATACTGAAGTAGGAGCTGCTGAAGGAGTCTGAGAGGGTGCGACAAATTTTCATCCCCATCCTGCCACTCGTACTCCAAAACAAGTCTGGCACGAAATTACCACCCTATGCCGCCTCCCCACCAGAGATGCAGAAGGAAAGTTCCACGAAGTGGACCCTTAAGAAAGAAATTTGGCTTCGTTCTCTCCCCGGCAACATCAGAGAGAAGCTCCACGACTCAACGAAACGGCCATTGAAGTCCTCCTCACCAGAGCCAACGCACTAATGGAAGCTCATCGGCAAGCCCCCCTCAATCAACAGCTCCCGTTTTCCCGTCGATTCATCCGATTCCTTGCCGCTGACGGTATCTGCTCGTACCACAAGCGGTTCGGCAACGCGACTTACCATTGTCTCAACGGATGTAGGTGGAAGCCTCGAAGACATCCAAAACAACATGGAAGGTGGCCACCAAGCAACACGGCAACAGCACCGACCAATGCAGTCGACCGCCCCCAACGCCCAGCTCTACCTCACCACAGACGCCTGCAGAGTTGCGGTAGGAGCCACCCTGGAGTAAGAAACTCATGGCAGACGACAGCCCCTGGCATTCAACAGAGAGCTCCTGGCAGTACACCTGGCCATTACCAACCTTTGCTGGATAAAAGTCACCCTCGTCATGCCCA